ATTGCAGTGCCCAAGCGGCGTCGGCAGGACATCACTCACATCCCAATCAGAACTTCATACCAGCGGTACCTGGAATTCAAAGAAGTGATAGCCTGGAAACGTCCAGCGAGGATTCCGCACTAGCAATGTCGTGAGTTTATGAGATCCACAACAAACTGGGCTGAAGGCAGTCCACCCACTCGAAGCAATTCGTGGGCATCCTTCCTAGTATAAATAGCTTCACCTCCAGTCTCTAAGACTGTCCCCCTTTCACAAACTCAGGAAGGCGCTGCGGTCTTCAAAAGTGGCAGTTCTGACGCCTGCTCAGTTGCCCCTCCCCCTAATCGAAACTCATAGGCGATTTTTTGTCATGTGTTCAGTTTTCACGCCGACAAAAATCTTATTTGGGCTTCACAATGTCGAGCAGCACTGGGTTTCTTGAGACAAATGCTTGAAAAATCGTCAGCTGAGGACAGTCAGAGGGCAGAATGGCTTGACTCATGGCTCAACCCTACCTGAACCATTCCTACACCACTGTCAGAATGTTACCAAAATTTGTACAGTGTAAAGCGCTGGTTGTATGCAGGAGCTGTGACCAGCGAGTTCCTTGATGCTCCCTGTTCCTCTCAAACCGGTAGGACATTATTGCTATTGCTGAGAGCAACAAGGGATTCATTTCGCCCATTTAGATAACCTAAAATGTGTTGCTCTTCCCCATAAGTTTGGAGCTAACAGTTCTCATCTGGTTACCAAATCCAAAAAAACACCTTCTAGTAAGGGGGTATTGAATAGACCTAGTGGATGGAATTTCTTCCTTAGGACTGCGTCTGCACCCTCTGAATCGAATCACAGCAAGTTTTCGTACAGCATCACACTTCCTGGCTCTGTGACATCACTGGATGAAGCTGAAGGGTCGGCGTGCATTCCATTCTTCTTAGAAATTTGTTCAAGGGGCCCGAAGTTTACCTCCGTAATGGATGTAGACATTTCAGAAGTGGAGAAAATTCACAACAAAGGGGTGATGTGCCAAGTCTCGTCCTTAGCAAAAGCGAAACTGATCGAGCACATGGAGGAAAAGCTAGTGACGAAGTGAATCTCTCTGAGGTGAGTTTGATCACTGATAGCAGAAAAACGCATTCTTATTTATTCCGTGGCGGCGTAATTTATGATGGGGATGTGACAAGAGAATCGCAATTCGCCGCGCGGATGGGCATCGCGTGCGACGTCGCACCCGCAAATGACGATGTTTCCAGGTCGTAGACGGCGACGGCAGCCAATGTAGAAAATAGTCATAAATGTCTACAGTTACCTACGCCAAATACTATACCTAGTTACCTAATTAAAACGTTTGGCATACTTACAATCCAACACCACTTGAGAAAACGCCGCGGCTACGCGCGCGGCGGAGCGGCAACTTACGACTCTTTTGTCCGTCTCCCAAGTATGATACATGTGAGTATCGATCGTGAACGCGCAAAATCAATACCAATACAAACACTTGTGTTTTTCAGTGTGCGTCGGGAATTTTTATTTTTAATTCCGAATAGTGCGACATGCACACTTGTTATTATTACCTCATCGCCATCCCCCAGGAATATTCTGCGAACGGGAGGGGGGAAGCCTCTTTAGCCAATGTTTGCTGGCTGTTCTTGCTTTTTTCCTGTACATCTGTTCACGCCAGCGGTAGTTTTCTTTTTTCGGAAAAAAATGCAAAATGTGGTAGAAAGACGGAAAACTTTTAGAAGATGGTAAGCAGGA